TTCAGGGAATAACCGCTCAATTCGGGGTCAGGGGGTTGGGTCCCCATCGGGTTGGGTTCAAGTTGCCATCCCTACCTACTGCGATCTACCCACCTTTATTTGGCCCCAAATGTGACTGCTCCACAGCCCAATCCCTTTGCCTAGGATGCTTCAACCTGCCCTGATACCGAAACCCTACATCCTCTCCTCCAAATTTGCGAACAGACCCACCATATCCTCCATTCCCAAAATTCTGCCTATCATCACGCCGTCGCTGTCGATTTTCCTTCCCTAGCCAAAACCCCTCATGATCTACCCCCGCCGGCGAGACCGAGGCAACCATAGGACAAACTTCCGGCCACAGAGGGATCATATACTGCCAATCCTCTCAACGTAGCGAGATCTTAGTCGAAATGATGCCATGACGCCAGACTTTCCATCAGACCACTCCGAGATCCGCCGAAAGCTCTTCAATCTGCACAAAACCACCACAACAGTCACCGATGGCCCTATACGTGGCCATTCCTCGGAGATGAATGGGTAGGCCCAACACCCGCACCCACATAGTCGCCTCTGACAGCGTTGGGTTGCCCTTGTCACACAAAACTGTCGGTGACCACCATCGCAGACGAAGGTCGCGCCCGTCGTCAACCCACTGGCGTCGCAACACATTTTCAGCATCCCCGACGGGAGGGGAACACAAAGAGAAAGTCTTGTTTCCCTATTGGCTGGAGCTCCACCTTGCGTGACGCGCCCCACCACCGACCAGCCCACTCTGTCATCACAGAAAACCCTACACCCTTATCCCCCACTAATACGCACGAAGCCCACCAATGCCCGATTCAGTGTATCAAACCACCCCTCTTCAACCACCGCCTGAACTGGTTTGTCCATGTCAACCAGACTTTCTAGAGCCGTTCTCTTCACCACTGATACCGTCGTCCCAGCGCGAGCCTTCGCAACCCAGCTTTCACCTCTGGCAAAGCCCTCCATAACCAACGCCACACTCTCCCAGCCATCCCTAAACTCTGAGACGGGGGTAACAACCTGATGCCGATGACCTACAATGGTGACCACAATCTGAAACGACTGCCCACCAGCCTCCTTGGCACGAACCCAGGTAGCCACACTCCGACAATTGCCATCCAAACGACCTAAGAAGGATTGGGTTTGTACGGTACTCGAGGCCAATCACAGCATGGTGATAACCCAACTCACCTCGAATCCGACCAAAATAACTTCCCGCCGAAAGCCTGAGCCTTGCTCCACAATCCTTTCAGCAGTGAACTTATTTTAATTCCTGTTTGTTTTTCCTTCCATGTATACAATCACAATTTCCATGAACCTGATTAAATCATAAATTAATTTGTGCTCCTTTTCTTGAAACATCTTAAAAAGTATTTCCTGACTCTTCCATGTCTACATATGACAAAACATTTTGACTTTGGCTTAATTGAATATGAAAACATAATCCAGTTGCATTTTATGGTGAATGCGTTACCTCTTAAAATGATGGAATTCTCTTCTGTAGATTTTTCTTTGTTAGAGCTGGGATGATGGGATGGCTACTTATCAACCTCTCCATTTTGGCAAAAAGTGTTCAAGATGCCAACTTGAGCCAATCAATGATTCTTTACCAGCTATTCTGTGTGGTAATTTGGTGATTTATACTTTTCATGTTTCAAAACTAGTTTTGTAGGTGATTGTTGATTTTTCTTTGATTACTTATTTATTTATTTCATTTTGGTTTAATCGTGTTTCAGTTATACATCCTGGACTACTTCTTTTATGAAGAGTACATGACCTCCACGTAAGTGCGTTATCAGTTTCTCTGAAGAACACCCAACTCAAACTCAACAAAGTGCAATTGCATCATTCTCTGTTGAGAATATATTTGATATTCTACCATGCTAACCTGCCAATTTCTTCCTGGAGATGTATTTTTGTTTACTTTTCTTTGTGTTATAGTACTCTTCATTCTTATTGAATAATCCTTGAACTGAACCAACCTAATCTTGATGAGTTGGGTTGGCCGGGTTCTAGCAAAGCTTCAGTTTGGTTCTGGGTCCAAATTTCCAAGAACCAACCAAATCGGTTTGGTTCTTGGGTAACCTAAACCAACTTGAGAATTGACCCCTATATGTATTAAAAAAATTTCAATTTGTAAATCAGTATGTATCACTGCTATTGGTTATGAACTTGTGACTCTGTCTTATGTAGGGCCAATTTTTGGCACACACCCCTTAAAAAGTTGTGAACCATATCCTCTGGTTATGCCCCAAAGCGGTGTGTTGGTTATGACTTCAAGTGGTTAAAATGAAGTTCGCTTATGGTCAAATTAAAGTGGGCCTAGCCTTCGTTACGACCCAAAGTTGTTTTTGGCTACAAGTCAAAGTGGTTTTGTTTGACTAAAAGTGGTTTTGGTTATGTCTCAAAGTAGGTGCATATGGTATACACCCAAAAGGGAGGTATTTATTGAAGCATTTTCCCTTATATAGACACTCTTGCCAATAATCGTTGTTTATAATAGGTCTTTTTCATTTTGCTCTATAGTAATAGTAAATTTTTTTAATGAATAAATCAAAATTTATACAACACAGTTAGACTTGCATCGCCATCCTGAATTTTCTTTTGTTGGATTGGTTTGGTTCTACATTTTAGTCATCACCTCGTCAGCTTTGGGTCCACAAATTGAGAACCGACAAAAGTTGGTTCAATTATGGGTCTGGCTCTAACCTGCACTGAACTGATGTGAACCATGCAGACCTCTATGCCCAATTGTAGTCCACTACATGAGATTTATACCTTAATGTTGAGAATCATTGGCACTTCACATGTCTGTATCCTGTTCATTTCTGATAGTACAGTTAATAAATCATGTTACATTGTGCATCCTATCATTGTGTTTCCTTCCTGGAGCTCCACCTTGCGTGACGCGCCCCACCACCGACCAGCCCACTCTGTCATCACAGAAAACCCTACACCCTTATCCCCCACTAATACGCACGAAGCCCACCAATGCCCGATTCAGTGTATCAAACCACCCCTCTTCAACCACCGCCTGAACTGGTTTGTCCATGTCAACCAGACTTTCTAGAGCCGTTCTCTTCACCACTGATACCGTCGTCCCAGCGCGAGCCTTCGCAACCCAGCTTTCACCTCTGGCAAAGCCCTCCATAACCAACGCCACACTCTCCCAGCCATCCCTAAACTCTGAGACGGGGGTAACAACCTGATGCCGATGACCTACAATGGTGACCACAATCTGAAACGACTGCCCACCAGCCTCCTTGTCACGAACCCAGATAGCCATACTCCGACACTTGCCATCCAAACGACCTAAGAAGGATTGGGTTTGTACGGTACTCGAGGCCAATCACAGCATGGTGATAACCCAACTCACCTCGAATCCGACCAAAATAACTTCCCGCCGAAAGCCTGAGCCTTGCTCCACAATCCTTTCAGCAGTGAACTTATTTTAATTCCTGTTTGTTTTTCCTTCCATGTATACAATCACAATTTCCATGAACCTGATTAAATCATAAATTAATTTGTGCTCCTTTTCTTGAAACATCTTAAAAAGTATTTCCTGACTCTTCCATGTCTACATATGACAAAACATTTTGACTTTGGCTTAATTGAATATGAAAACATAATCCAGTTGCATTTTATGGTGAATGCGTTACCTCTTAAAATGATGGAATTCTCTTCTGTAGATTTTTCTTTGTTAGAGCTGGGATGATGGGATGGCTACTTATCAACCTCTCCATTTTGGCAAAAAGTGTTCAAGATGCCAACTTGAGCCAATCAATGATTCTTTACCAGCTATTCTGTGTGGTAATTTGGTGATTTATACTTTTCATGTTTCAAAACTAGTTTTGTAGGTGATTGTTGATTTTTCTTTGATTACTTATTTATTTATTTCATTTTGGTTTAATCGTGTTTCAGTTATACATCCTGGACTACTTCTTTTATGAAGAGTACATGACCTCCACGTAAGTGCGCTATCTGTTTCTCTGAAGAACACCCAACTCAAACTCAACAAAGTGCAATTGCATCATTCTCTGTTGAGAATATATTTGATATTCTACCATGCTAACCTGCCAATTTCTTCCTGGAGATGTATTTTTGTTTACTTTTCTTTGTGTTATAGTACTCTTCATTCTTATTGAATAATCCTTGAACTGAACCAACCTAATCTTGATGAGTTGGGTTGGCCGGGTTCTAGCAAAGCTTCAGTTTGGTTCTGGGTCCAAATTTCCAAGAACCAACCAAATCGGTTTGGTTCTTGGGTAACCTAAACCAACTTGAGAATTGACCCCTATATGTATTAAAAAAATTTCAATTTGTAAATCAGTATGTATCACTGCTATTGGTTATGAACTTGTGACTCTGTCTTATGTAGGGCCAATTTTTGGCACACACCCCTTAAAAAGTTGTGAACCATATCCTCTGGTTATGCCCCAAAGCGGTGTGTTGGTTATGACTTCAAGTGGTTAAAATGAAGTTTGCTTATGGTCAAATTAAAGTGGGCCTAGCCTTCGTTACGACCCAAAGTTGTTTTTGGCTACAAGTCAAAGTGGTTTTGTTTGACTTAAAGTGGTTTTGGTTATGTCTCAAAGTAGGTGCATATGGTATACACACAAAAGGGAGGTATTTATTGAAGCATTTTCCCTTATATAGACACTCTTGCCAATAATCGTTGTTTATAATAGGTCTTTTTCATTTTGCTCTATAGTAATAGTAAATTTTTTTAATGAATAAATCAAAATTTATACAACACAGTTAGACTTGCATCGCCAACCTGAATTTTCTTTGGTTGGATTGGTTTGGTTCTACATTTTAGTCATCACCTCGTCAGCTTTGGGTCCACAAATTGAGAACCGACAAAAGTTGGTTCAATTATGGGTCTGGCTCTAACCTGCACTGAACTGATGTGAACCATGCAGACCTCTATGCCCAATTGTAGTCCACTACATGAGATTTATACCTTAATGTTGAGAATCATTGGCACTTCACATGTCTGTATCCTGTTCATTTCTGATAGTACAGTTAATAAATCATGTTACATTGTGCATCCTATCATTGTGTTTCCTTCACTCTCACTTCTATTTACTTTTTCTTATCTGAAAGATTTCAACTTTATAATTCCAAGACGATTTTATTTTCGAATCTGACCTTTTTTTATGTGACTATCATTTGCAGTTGGGATATAATTGCAGAAAAGTTGGGCTTCATGCTTGTGTTTGGAGATCTAGTTTGGATTCCCTTCACCTTTAGTATTCAGGTAGTTAGTTACCTGTCACTTGTTAGATCAAATTATTAGAAGAAACTATTTTTGTTTATTGGCAAGAAAATTAAAAAGATGCATACCTGGATCTGTATGCTTATACCCAGTTATGCTCGTGATTGTGAGAAATTCTTCGAAACAGTGAACCTGTTTGACTTCCATTCCAGCAATTACAATCAGTTTTCTGCAAGAACTGATTTAATCCTCCTTGGATAACAAAAAATGTGTATATGGTAGCAAATGAAACATGTAATCTGGATCACAAGATGGCATATTTATGCTTGAATGCTATTTAGCCACTTTAGTAAACTTCATATTTTCTATAGTCTCTGAAGAAAAGTGAGAAGTTAAATTTTATAGATTTCAGAGAATAGCGAGTTGTATTTGATAACAAAGAATATATATTTTGTGTATTTCGAATGAATCTCTGAGTATAAATATATATAACCTAAATGAAATAAACCCTAATAATCTAATAGACGAAACTATCCTAAACGACTAATATAAAATACAATAAAATACATGATCTCCACACCCCCCCCCTCAAACTGAGGATGCGAGCGCAGAAAGTATTGAAAGTTTGCCAAGAAAAAAACGAAAACGAGCAACAGTGTGAGTCTTCGTAAAACAACGGGCCAACTGAAGAGAGGACGAAACAAAAGAGAGTAATAGTGCCAGCCTGAAGATGCTGTCGAACAAAGTGACAATTGATCTCAACATGCTTGGTCCATTCATGGAAGATTGAATTATGGGCAATCTGAACAACACTCTGAGTATCACAATACAACAGAGTTGGATCAGAAAGAGAGACACCCATATCAGAGAGAAGCCAGCGAAGCCAAACGATCTTGGAAGTAGCATGAGCTATGGCACGATACTTAGCCTCAGCGGTGGAACGAGCAACAACAGACTGTTTCTTACTCTTCCAAGATATGATAGAATCGCCGAGGAAAACACAAAGACCAGAAGTGGATTTGCGATCAGAGATGTCACCTGCCACGAAGAGTCAAGTCTGAAGAGGCAGATAACAATAGGCATTGCAACAAAGTGCCCCGAAGGTAGCGCAGAGTACAGAGTAAGGCAGCCCAGTGTGTGAAACGAGGAGCAGAAACAAACTGACTGAGAATGTGCACAGCATAGGAGATATCCTGACGAGTAACAGTGAGATAAACAAGGCACCCAACCAACTTACGATACAAAGTGGGATTCTCAAGAGGAACGCCATCGGAAGCAGAAAGCTTAGCATGCAACTCAAGAGTGTCTACAATTTTGTCATCAGTGAGTTTCGCACGAGAAAGAATATCACGGGCATGTTTAGTCTGAGAGAGAAGATACCTAGTAGGAGAAGTAGCAACCTTAATACCAAGAAAATATCGAAGAAACTCCAAATCCTTCATTTCGAACTCCTGAAACAACTAATGCTTGACCTCCTCAATAGTACTACAATCAGAGCTAGTGATGATCATATCATTCACATATAAGAGAAGAAGAACAAGGCTAACAGAAGTGTGCCGAACAAATAGAGCACAATCATGATGACTATGGCAAAAACCAAGTTGAAGTGCAACAGAGTGAAATCGCTCATATGCACGAGGAGACTACTTGAGACCATAGAGAGCACGGCGAAGACGACAAACCACACCAGGAGGGTGAGAGAGACTCGGTGGAGGGTGCATATACACTTCTTCAGCAAGATGCCCATTCAGAAAAGCATTTTTGACATCGAGTTGAAACAAAGGCCAGTGATGGGCAGCAGCAACAGAGATAAGAATGCGAACAGTAGTCATCTTGGCAACGGGGGCAAAAGTCTCATCGTAATCAATCCCATACTCTTGAGAAAAGCCCTGGGCAACCAAACAAGCCTTGTGTCGTTCCAAAGAACCATCAGAAAAGGTTTTGACCTTATAAACCCATTTATAGCCTACAACATTCTTGTCAGCAGGCAATGGAAACAAATCCCAAGTCTGAGTGTTAGCCAAAGCAATTAACTCGTCATTTATGGCAGCAATCCAATTGAGATCATGACAAGCTTTCTTGTAGAACCTAGGCTCAAAATAAGTATGAAGACAAGAAAGAAAAGACTGATAGGAAAGGGAAAAACATGTATTATCAAAACCATTCCAGTTCGGAGGATGACGGCCACGCGTTGGAAAGCGATATGCAGGAGGAGCGGGATCCAAAGAAACAACTGGAGGGATAGTAGAGCTAGAGACAGTCGAGCTCGGAAGTGCTTTGCAGCGTTGATAAACAAGAAAAGGAGCAGGAGAAGAGGGAGCTGGAGAGGGAGTAGCTGGCGAGATATTAGATGTGCTAGGAAGAGGCAAGGCAGAGATCTCAAGATTAGAAACAAACTCATCAGGAGAAACATCAAGAGGAAAAGAGTCAACGTGAACCAATTCATCCTTGGTAATAGGGACAGGGGTGGAAGGTATAGTGTAGTAGGGTAGTTTTTCCAAAAAAGTGACATGCCTAGACACATAAAGCTTTTTGGTGGCAGGATCATAGCACCGATAACCTTTCTGATTAATGCCATACCCTAAAAAGACACATAGGACACAATGAGAACTAAGTTTAGAGCGCTCCCGTTTAGGAATGAGCACAAAGCATGTAGAACCGAAAACACAAAGAAGAGAATAATTGTGAGTAACACCAAGAAGACGCTTATACAGAGATGAGCCGGAGAGAAGGAGTAGGCATCCAATTGAGAAGATATGCAGTAGTGAGCACAGCTTCTCCCCAAAAGACAGAAGGGACAAAGGATGAGAGCAGCAAAGAACGAGCTGTATCAAGGGAAGATGCTGTCGGACAAAGTGACAATCGATTTCAACATGCTTGGTCCGCTCATGGAAGACTGAATTATGAGCAATCTGAACAGCACTCTGATTATCACAATACAACGGAGTCGGATCAGAAAGAGAGATGCCCATATCAGAGAGAAGCCAGCGAAGCCAGACTATCTCGGAAGTAGCATGAGCCATGGCGCGATACTCAGCCTCAGCAGTGGAACGAGCGACAACAGACTGTTTCTTACTTTTCCAAGATATGAGAGAATCACCAAGGAAAACACAAAGACCAGAAGTGGATTTGCGATCAGAGATGTCACCGGCCCAATCAGCGTCAGCATAGGCACGGAGAGTCAAGTCCGAAGAGGCGGATAACAGCAGACATTGCAACAAAGTGCCCTGAAGGTAGCGCAGAGTACGGAGTAAGGCAGCCCAGTGTGTGGAGCGAGGAGCAGAAACAAACTGACTGAGAATGTGCACAGCATAGGAGATATCCGGACGAGTAACGGTGAGATAAACAAGGCACCCAACCAACTCACGATACAAAGTGGGATCCTCAAGAGGAACTCCATCAGAAGCAGAAAACTTAGCATGCAACTCAAGAGGAGTGTCGACAATCTTATCATCAGTGAGATTGGCACGAGAAAGAATATCACGGGCATATTTAGTCTGAGAAAGAAGATACCCAGTAGGAGAAGTAGCAACCTCAATACCAAGAAAATATCGAAGAGACCCCAAATCTTTCATCTCGAACTCCTGAAACAACTGATGCTTAACCTCCT